AAGGAGTTTCGGCGAACGCTCAAATGTTGTTGTGCGCGTGCCGGAATCAGCTGATCGTCGCTGTGATGCAGCTGTAAGTACCCTGCAACCAACAAAACAATTGCCCAACACATTTTGGTTCAGGTCTACCCAACCAGTTTGGTTGAGGTTAGTTGTGCATAGTCAGCCAATTGCAGTAATGCCGGTGAGCGCAGAGCTTCAGGCCTTCTTGCTACAGCGCAACGTTGATCAGGCCATTGTAGATGGGCCAGGCAGATGTCGGTTGTCTTGCCGTTCGTGCCTTTGCAAATTGGGTGGACTCACGAACCGACATTGAGCCCAAGATTCTCGCCAAAATCCCAAGCCACAAAGACAACCGCAGCCAACTTGCTCGTCTCAAACAGGCGTGGCGTGAAGCTGATGCTGTGGTCGCTCGTCAAGTCGCTTGTCAGTCCCAAAGCCTGGCTCCCGAAGATTTGGATGAGCCCCTGGACCCAGACGTGCAGAAGTCCTACGTGTCCATTTTCACTTCTTACCACAAGTGGGGTGAAATGGATTCTCGCAGGATTGGTAGCGACTCCATGTTCGGGCGGTTCCGACGTGAGTTTGAATCCAGACTGCGGGTACGGTCCCTTGCAACTGCTCAGAAAGCCCCACCGGTCAAGGAGCAAAAGCTCGCAGATGGCGTCTCCCTCATCTCCAGCTCCGTCAAAGAGGATGTGGAGCCCTCGTCCGCCCAGGGCATTCATGGCTACCTCATGTTGTTGGATGTCCTGGTGTTCACGTGGGCGGTTGCTGGTTGCTTTTGACTTCTCTTACAATGATGGCACCGTCAAGTATGCCTCGTGGCCTTTACTGTCCCAATACGCATATCAGCGTGCGTGGAAATTATGTAGCCAATATTCGGCTGAGTCCGTCATTGAGTACATTCAACAAGAGCCAGAGAGCTCAGGCAAGGCATTTTTGGCCTTGGAAACCGGTTTGCCTTACTCGCTCTTCAGGTGCGCAGGGAGGACATGGAAAGAAGACAGCGGAGGGTGCAGGAACTGGAAGATAGGTGCACGGCTGAGGACTGCCGTGAGCATCGACAAAAAGTTATCGGCCAAGGATGAGAAGAAGTGCTCCTTCCTTTTAATGTTGGGGTATATTGGGGTCACCTTTCTGCTGCAGGTGTTTGACTGCTAGCTTGATTTGCCCCGCCAAGCGACCTGAAACGCTAAGATTCAATTCACTGGTTTATTTTGCGCGTCGCTTGCGTTTAGGAGATGAGATTAGCCATAGGAACGAGTTGAAAGGAGAGCAATCCTCAAGAGAAACGGGGGAGACCAATGAACAGAGCGTTTCGTTAATCCCCTGTGTTGACGTCAGAACACGTCCGCGCGTGCCAAGTAGCAACATGTGTAGTGATGTAGCGCGTACATGTGTGGTTGCGCAAAGGACCTTGCAAATCGTTGCCTTGGCTCAAGGAGAACAAGGGCCCTACATCAGACTGCCAGAGTCCCGGTAGATGTTTGTGTCAGCGAAACGACGAGTCTTTGACCGTGGTCAAGTGTTGCCATGGAAATCCACTTCAGACGAGCTCCAGGCCCTGGACGGGAAATCAAGTGAGGTGGAACGCTCAGAAAAGTCAGTTGTGAATTTAGCGGCCACCTCTCGAAGGTGTACAGCTTGCCTGAGGTGTTTGTGAGAATCAAGTGCGGTGGACGTACGGCCGATATAGAGCCATAATGGTAGCCCTGATCTAAGGTTGGCAAATGCCTGTCGGGGCTGGATGAAGGATTGAACAAGATGGAGATCCCGGTCGGTGCTATCTTCACCCCAGAGCCCATGGCCCATCTGCAGGGGCATCATGCCTTGCGTCATGCGTTGCATAACAAACGCATGTTTCGCGGGGAGGGTACCAAACACAAAATGCGTCTTGTTTTGGATGTTGCCATGCTGTTTTGGACGCGCAAGCAGGAGGCAAATCAAAGCAAGTGTGTGCGATTTGCTGGGGCGGACACCAGTCCGCAGCATGGTTAGATTCGGTTAGAACTGGCTTTTGTCATCTTGTGTGAGCGTTCCTGCCCAAAAGATGATTGAAGTTTTTCTGGCCATTCAGCGTATGATTGCAGAGAGAGAGCAGAGGGCTTTGAATCATGGTAGTGAGTTTGAAGTTGAGCTGCAGTCTGAGCAGAGTCTAGGGTCTGGAGCCTGAAGTACCGGGCATAAAGTCTCGGCCATGTTGCGCAAATTTGCCTTTCTTTTCGGACACACGCATGGAGACAATTTGCAGCAGTATTGTGCTTCCTTTTTAGTTTCTGCTCTGACATGGGCGCTGAGTTAGGTATGCGATTTGCAGTCACTGTTGCCGTTTTGGACGCAACACGAGCCTATGCAACTAGATTTGCCTGATGGTTGTGCGTTCCCAGACATTGCAGCCCCACCATCCCCAGCCCCAGATTTTAACCCAGCTGACTTCGTAATAGATGTGAAGGCGCCCAGTCAGGAATTGCCGCAGAGAGCTCCTGCAGTAGCTTTGCCACGTGAGGAGCCCCAGATTCACGCCAACGACGCGTGGCCGCCTCCTGTGCCATTTCAGTG